CCCCCCCCCCCCCCCCCCTACTGTTTTCCTAATTAAATTTTTTTTGGCGGTCCATCTGATATCTCAGCAACAGTCATTTGCATCCACTTCTATTTTATTTTGTTTTTTATATTATTATTATTATTATTATTATTATTTCGAGACCTTTACTGCTTTCTCCCATTATTGTATTTCAATTAATAGTGTCGGTGTACTTTCTTTCGTATACAGGAGTATGCAATATTAAATCATACGATATGATGATATTGTACAAAAATAAAATTAGAAAAATAATAAAATATAAAAGAACATATCTTCTTGTTTTTATTACAATGAAAATGGAATACATATTTATAGAAAAATTAAAAAACGAAATAAAAAGAAAATATAGATACAATGGAAACAAATCAGATACATAATATTTGACATAATGATATTGTATCTATTATTATTCTCCATTATATCTCAAATCTTATTTTACTCCAATCACATATTTGTTTTCTCATTTTAACAGATATGTTATGCATGAACGCAAAAGCATTAATTTATCTTAATGGTAAACCTTAAATTTGCGCTTTTCTTTGCAGATTTTGTCACAATGCATGAGAAAAATCTGGAAGATCTTTGTCTAAGATGAAATTTAATCGCTGAGTCTTAATAAAATTTTATTAAATTAAATGTTTTTTTACTTTTTCATATGGGCATAAAGGATAAATATTTCATTTCCCTTGTTTACTCATAATATTTATTCCGTAACGACGGCCCATGTACAAACATAACATGATTTTTCAGTTAGAACATTATATATATATATATGATTTTGATCGACTTCCCTAGAATCCAAAAGAAAAATCGAAACAAAAAACATTATCCAAAATGTGAAAATAATTTACAAATTCAAGATTCCAAAACTTTGTAAATAACAACAAAGCATGGTAATATAGCCCTAGGGTTAAACACCAGTAGCTCCTCAAGATTCGAATACGCGCCCGCGTTCTCCGCGAGCGAGTCATACGCGCCACCGTTTTCCTCATCGACCACGCCCCGTTTCACCCTCCCGGCGATCACCCGACAGACAAGCATCGCTTTCCGGAGAGACCCCGAAGCTCCGAGCGAGTCGTGGGCCCGGCCGCTGCTCGCCGTCGTCCTTACACCGCCTCCGAATACACCGGCCTGACCGCCGAAACCGTTGCGGATGAGGGTGCAAACTCCGCATCCGGAGACGGAGCAAAGGGAGGAGGATCCACGGGCCCCGAGAGGACAGACGAGGGTGGCGCAATGGAAGCGGAGGAGCTCATTGCCGTCGGCGGCGCAACGCGCGTCTTTCCTCGGCGTCTGGAGTGCACGCGCCTTCACGGCGTCTCGGCAATCTTCGAACCGTTGGATGGTGCGTTGGGTGTTGTGGACTTTTAATATCCGTTCGATCTTACAGATAGGATTGTCCTTCTTTAACCAGCTTGACTTGAAGATTATCTCCACTACGTTCCTTCCTGAATCCTCGGGACCAAGCTCTGATACTGTAAATTAAATCATAAATTTAATTATAATAATTAGATCAAAAAATGTTATTTTACGTGAATTTAGTTTTTTTTATTTGCATAGCACTTAAAAAAAAAAATCAAACCGGCTGAACCAAATAGAATAAAAACGACATCAAACCCAAACCAAAATCTGTTTCGGTTAGTTTCGATTAAATGAAATAAGTAAAACAAAAACGCTTCTTTTTTTTTTCTTAAAGGAAATGAGAATATTTTGTGACAATAAGTTAAGACCTGATGCTTTTAAGTTTTAACTGAGACCCGTTCTTCAAAAGAAAATAGATCATAAACCACCGAATCAAACCGAACCGAACACCAAACCATTAAACAGACTCCGCACGCACCCCATATCATTGAATAGTGACGTAATTAAATAAGGTGAAGATTTAGGGAAGGTGGTTTAGTACGGACGAATAAGAAGATGACACGTAAGATTAATACTGAATACCACGGTAGCAAGGGACAGCTGTTTTTGGTCCCTTGGAACACTTGAAATGGCTCTTAAAATGCAAAATGACAAATATTATCCACGATTATAATAATATTTTTGTCCTTATATTATTTATTTTTTATTTTTATGAGCAACGTGGATTGGATAGGTTAATCCAAATTTATCACATGGTTATACGCATGACCGAACAACGGTAACCAACGTTAAGTAAACCATCTTAATGCAAAATGGCGTATAGAGGGCTTGTCAGTGTTGTCACTAGCTACCTATTTAATCATATTATAATAAATAAAATATATGTAGTCTTAACCTTCGAAAAGACAAAAGGAAAGGATCCTTCATGCGAAAGCCTATTCGTAGAATTGAATATGCATTTACGATTGAGACATGGATAACTAGATTAATCATTTAAATTAATCTACAGTCGTGATTTGGTAATATATATATATATATATATATATGGAGTTAAAATGCAACGTCGACGCAGTAAGTTTTCTGATATTTTACTTTTTAACCATTTTGAGGTGATTTGCAATTGAAACTACCTTTCCTAAGCGAGAGATAAAGGTCTAGCGCAAACTAGGGTTATTTTGAAATGGTAATTACATTGGATTCAATGAAATTTGAGGGAAGCGTATAGAAAGAGTAAACAGAAAGTTGAGAGCGAAATAAAATAAGAAAACCGATGAAATTAATTAGACCAACCGACCTGCGTGACGGACTGCTTGATGCATCTCCAAGTTTTCAAGCTTGGGGAAAACCTCTCCACACTGAGAACAAGCACAAACCCTAGGTGATATTGGATTCCTGAAAAATAAATTTAAAAATCGATTAGTTTCACTTTCTAAAGTATTTATGAATTAAAGCAATCGAAAAATAAAATCGAAATAAAATTAAGAAAACAACAGATGTAGAGAAACCTGCTGGGGTCCACGATCATATGGCACTCGTAGCAGCCGGAGAGTTTCCGGAATTGCATGCCTCTAATTAACGACGTCGTAGTAGTAGCCGTTGCCGTTGAAGACGATGACGTGTAACTCTCTCTGCCGTTGGATCTTTTTGACACAGATGTCAGCGACCTAGACGAGGACGACCCGGGTTGGCCCGATTTGCGGTTCAATATCCGGGTTTCCGGGTCATGAATCGGGTTACCGGGTCCGGGCGAGTTGTCAGCTCGGTGGACGACCCGTGTGTTGCCATGAGCCACGTCTCTGAAGCTACAAATGGACCCACAAGAGGAGGTGATGAGCTTCGAGGAGGAGTTGGGGTGCGTAGCAGTAATGTACGGTTCAGATTGAGAGTTCTTGGATGGGTCGTGGATTCTGGATCCTTCGATCTGTTTGCAGGTCAGTAGGTTCTTGAACTGGTCCCATGAAGATGGCAGTTTCTGCGGCGTTTGCTTCTGCGGTTTCCGCGTTTGGGCGTTACGCGGCTGTATTTGGCGTTTCTTGCGTTTTGAAGGCAGTGGTTGCTTCTTCTGCGTTTGCGGCGGCTCGGATTTCTCCGGATAGAACGTTAGTAAAGCCATTGGAGGGGAAGAAACTATCAGAGGGAGTTTCTTTTGTTCCTCTTACTTTGGTTTCTTTGGCTATTTTTGTTTGGAAGTGAAGTGAAGAGAGAGATCCATTATAAGCAATAAAGAGAGAAACGGAGGAGAAGGTGGTAAAGTTTTTACGCTTTTACCCTCAATCTTATATTTTTTGTTTCTTACAATGGTTTTTTTAAAAAAGTTTTTTTTTTGTTTATTTGCAAATTTTTTCTATTCAAGGCGTCTTGAAATGCGAATATTAATTTTTCGTAGTTTTAGTACGTTGCATGGTTTGAAATTGTTATTTATTTTAATAATGAATTTTGTGTTTTAATTTGTTCGGTTTGATTATTTTTATTCAGTTGATCAATTAAAACATTCGTTATTTCAATTTCTTGTTTTTTTTAGTAGAAACATGTGATGTCACCACATCGTTATCAACATTATTATAAGTTTTGGACACTAAAAATATATGAAATATTTTGAAATATTAAATTACATGGTAGCAGTCAGTTATATATATATATATATACAGTATTGCCGACGTGTGTGTGTGTGTATAGGAGAGAAAGGATTACACAGAAGCTTGCACACGGGTGTGTCATATTTGGTAGCTGCTTGAAATGTCCCACACAAACTTTCTATATCGTTTTGACCTTCCGAGAGTTGACTTAGCTAACGATAGTTGATATGTATCCATCTTTAATGAATCCAGTAAATGAAAACTCTCATTATATATATATATATATATATAACAATTCAACTACAAAACTAACCCATATCTCTTTTTTTTTTTCCTTTTTTTTTTATTTTAAAAACAAAATATTTATATTTTTCCCTATTCAAATAAAAACGGTTTCGACGTACGGTCCAAACTTCTGTTTTAATAGTTGGAGATGACAGTGTATCGGAAACATCGTATTTGGAACTGTGATTCCGGATTCCGAATTTTGTAATTGTCCCGATTCGAAATTCTCGATGTCTTTTGATTTGACCAATGAATATTAGATTTAAAGTTCTATGCGTATTGGTCAAATTTTCAATGTATTTTATTATTATGCCAATTAATGCATATTTATATATATATGCTACATGGGTTTCTGCAAACATATTTGACCAATTAATTATACTCCTTTTGAATCAATTATTGGCTTTACTAGTGAAATGCGTTTTTAACATTACAATTACAAAAAATGAAAATAAAATAAATAAAAATATGGTTTGGCCGAACAAATGGAGGAGAGGAGAGAGATGCTTCGCATCCACCGCACCTCCCCCATATAACATTATAAGCCCACATTTTCCCCCTAATTCCACCCTCTAAGATAAAACAATTAGTTCCCTATATGTCTATAACACACTTGTCCAAATAACAATTTTATAATGATTATATGGTTCGTTCTACACAGCTTCGTGAATATTTTCATGTTTTGACAATTATGTCAAGAGACTGGTCTATTCTTATTATTATTTGAATTTGAAAACAAAATTAAAGGATTTGTTATATATATATATACACCAGTTAAATAACTTAATATTCTTGTACTGACAAAATAATTAATTGGGCTGACAGAAAATTAAATCTTTCTGGACTTCCTCGCTCCTCTGGTAGATGTAGTCGGATCAAAGGTCCGGTTAACTCTCGGATTATAAAAAAATAAATAAATTTAATCTTCCCGCATGGTATATGAACTCCATGACGCATAGGCTTCGTTTGTTTCGGCCCCTCTCTTATTCCAATTATTTCTGTTTATAATTTCAAAATTCTAATATTTAATTATACGTGATACATATCGTGTAACAGTGCTAATAAACACACATACTATCTGATATCAACTTCTCTTAATACACATCGCATATGGTTTCTATAATCCCAGATAAAATATGGATTTATGTACATATAATTATATTATATGTAGTATTTTATAAAATTCGTGATGTCTGCAACTCAGAGACCTGTACGGAACCCATATCTAATTCTATGGTCCCTCGTGGATATTTCAATTGAATGACCTCTCTATATATCTCCCACCATATTTTAAAAGGAAAAAACCATTTTATTCGCATTCGAATTATTCCTTTTTTTTTTCCCGTTTATTGAGTGCCAAATATTTAAACATCGCCGAAACTCTTTAAACGTGGGAAGATATGAGGAAATTTTGAGAAGAATGGAAATAAAATAATTGTTGGTAAGAAAATTGGAAATGACGGTATGGAAATTTGAGCCGGTCAGTTTTACGAGGCTGGTTTACCTGTTCTGCATAGTTTGCCGGTTACTGCGTAGAGCGGTGGATTTTCTCAGGTCCGCTATGTTGTCTTGATGCGTTCTCATTCGGTCCATGGGCTGAGAAGCGTTGCGGTGTCCAGTGTGTTATCGAAGGGTTGTAGAATAGGTTTCCATGGTAACAAAAAAAAAAAAAATTGAAAATGACAAAAAAGGAAATATTTAATTTCTTATGAATTATAATTCAGAAATCAGTTAGTAGATAAAAAAGCCTATAGGCCCATGTCGGAAAACCCAAGCCCATTGAAATCAAACCCTCTGATTCATTCTCAGTCTACGGCCCTCTCTCACTTCGCATTCGCTAGGTTTTCTCTTCTCCTCCGTCTCCTGAGCTGGACAGTCTCTAAACCCTAAATTCGCGTCTCTCAGAATCTCCTCCGAAAAATTATCAACGGCAAGTTCTCCGCGTTTCGATTGAGTTTCGATTTCCTACAGTATGTTCATCGGTTCCCGCTGTCTCGTAGAACCCTAGTTGTTGGGTTCATGCCTAGTAATCTTAGGGTATTCATCAAATTTTACCTGGCGGCCATGATTCCTTTTTCTTCGATTTCTGGTCCTTTTTAGCCTTATTTCTCTCTCTATATATGCATTTACGGATTATTCTTCCGCTGTGGTTGCATACAGTAGTTTTAAGCAAAGAAGAAGAAAAAGAAGAAGCAGAAACAGCAGCAGCTACGGGAGAATAGATTTTGTATTCGAGTGGATTTTGTGGCTTCGACATAGCTTCGAAGTTGCAAGAGGGTTTAGAATCTGTGGCTTCGATTTCACGATTCAATGGAGGGATTAAAAGTCTCAGACGCGGAATTGGTGGTTTACGTTCATCCATCGAAGAGCAGAAACGTGTTTGAAGCCGTTCTTCGCGAGCTTAGTGCTCTTCTCTTCCAGTTCGTTCGTTTCTTCTCCTTCTTTTCCTTCGTGAAGCTTCACTTTTTTTTTTATCGTTTACGGGTTGAAAAATCATCGTAATCCATGTTTTCAGCAATAATTTGCTGTAGAGTCTAAAGATTCCACCCTTCATTACAAACCAAAAACGAATTTGGGGTTTTAATGATTGATCCGTTTTGGGTTGTTATGAAGAACGAATATTCTGCTGGAAAAGCTGTGAGCATATCTTTTGTTCTTGTTGCCTGTGCGTTTCTATTAGCTATTATGAACTTTTATGGTTTTGGATTTCTATTGATTTGATTATCTAAGCTAACCATGATTCAGCTTCTGGTTTCTTGATTCATATTCGGGTATTACTCTGATGTAATCGAACAAAATAATGGTAATCTCTCTGCATTTGATGTCTAGAACTTGTGAATTGGTGGCAATGATTTCGAAGTTCTTTGATTCTGTTTGGTTTGGATATCTAATTTTGGTATTATTGTTGTCAATCTGGGGAAATAATAGTTCGTTTTGGATCTCAATAAGGTTTTGTTGCTGGGATTCTTGATGTCAATCAGGTATTGTTTAATGTCATTCGGTCTTCATGTCATTAATTGTGACTGTGTTTTTGTTTTTCAGGTACAATGAGACCTTTGAAGGTGTTTTGTTGGCATTTGATGCCAATGTTAAAAGCAAACAAGCAAAAATCCTTCCGGGACTTCATCCGTACTTTGGCGTGAACGTAAACACAAAACTTCTGCTATTCGATCCGAAGCCCAATAGTCTTGTTGGTTAGATTTTCTTATTTATTTGTGCGTTTGACTTCTGTAATTGTGAGGGATATGACGTTTCTTCTTGTTTACATAGGTTGAAATCATTTTTTTGCAGAAGGGAAAGTTGTAAAGCTTTCTCCAGAGTCAATCCATGTGGTTGTTCTTGGGTTTTCTGCTGCGGTTATAACTGACGTGGATACTCGTGAAGAATTCAAGTACAAAATCGTGGGTATTACTGATTTTCTTGAATTTGGTAATTGTTTCATCCGTTTTTGGTAAGCCGATTGTTCCCTTTTTTGTGCTCAGAAAGATGGTGAAGCTCGCTATGTGAGCAGATCTCATAAGCGGCACGTAATAAAGGTCGGAACGATGATACGCTTCCTGGTTAAGAGGTAACAGTTGATTATCTAATCTTCTCGTTAGAATTGGATAGGCTTCGTTGAGATATTTGAAAATGAAAATGAAAAGGACGAGTAATAACAGCACTCTTCAGAAGGCAACTAGGCAAGAACATAACTTGTTTTGTTTTTAATTGCACATAATGTCTGGCATTGGTCATTTCATGGAGAATTGTTTGTCTAGGTTCTCTTAGTTACAGTCTTGGGTTTATGTATGTCACATTGTCTTGCTCAATATGATCAAAGCAAAGGTTCACTCCTGTAACTTCTGTTGGTTAGAAAATCGGAAACTATTGAAATGGATACAACTGATGATTATTCTTTCAATCAATCTTTTTTGCAGCTTCGACGAAGAGGTTATGCATATATCCGGATCTCTACTACCGGATAACACGGGATGTGTTCGATGGTTGGAAAAGAACTCAGAAGAAGCTTCACATACTGATAGGTAGGATATATGCAACCTTACCTTCTAACTAACCTCTTCGATTTTCATTTATCCGCGAAACCCGTGACTGGGGGTAGACATTTCTGTTCTAGGTCCGGTTTTCAGTTTTAGGAAAACTACATCTATTCAGTTTTTGTGTTAGATTAGGTTCGGTTTCAGTTTGAGTTTGGTTTTTAATGACGAAAATGCTTTATCTTCTAATATGACTTTGTTTTTTCGGTATTAGAAAAATCATATCCCTTCGGTTTTTATATCAGATTTGATTCGATTATGGATATGTGTTATTCCTTTTGGATCGGTTTGGTGTATGCATAAGTGAACCGAGTGTCCACCCATAATTTGTGACCGTAGAGACATCCACAATGTTTAACTGATGCATTAGTTAAACTCCATAACTAAAAAAAACCGAGCTTCGTTCTTTCAGGGAGTCTAAACGGAGAAGAGACAGCGAACTAGAAACCGAGTGGGGGAAGGACATAACTGGCGGTGGGACATCTTCGTTAAGCCATAACGTCCGTACAGATCCGCAGTCCAAGAGACATAAAGTTTGAGAAGAAGCTTGATGCTCTGTAATTCATTCAGGATCAAGTTTCTAACTTTGTACCAGGAGAAAGGAACGAAGAAACCCTATTTAAACCGAACTAAATTGGAATCGGTTTGGTTTGGTGAAGTTCTGTAGGTTTCTCTATCATTCCTTGAAAGTGCAACTAATTTCATTGTATCAGTACAATATTATTGTCTTTCATTTTTGGGTAATCTTGAAATCGATTATTTCTCGGGGAAAATATCGGTTTCTACAAAATTTGGTACATGTTCTTGAACGTATGTTACGTACATATACATAAAGAAAAAATATAAGCGATTGCGCCGACTTTGTAAAACAAGGTCGTACTAAAAAGACGAAAACACCCTCCACAGACTCAAAATTCCCATCAGTGCCAAGCCACTCCCGATTTCATTTGGCCTCAATCTCTTTGAGTCGGACAAAATCCGTAAATTCCCGTTCTCGTTCTGTTCCTCTCTCTCTCTCTAGGTTTCTGTATTTTCTTGTTTGTCGCATTTTTTTCCTATCTCTGTAAGGCCGGCGATCTCTATCTCCGTCGGCGAACAAACAATGGGAGTCCCGGCGTTTTATCGGTGGTTGGCGGAGAAGTATCCGTTGATAGTGGTGGATGTCGTCGAGGAAGAGCCCGTCGTCATCGAAGGCGTGAAAATCCCGGTGGACACCAGTAAACCCAACCCTAATGATCTCGAGTACGATAATCTCTATCTCGACATGAACGGGATTATCCATCCTTGCTTCCATCCCGAGGATAGGGTAAATTCGATTCCGCCTTTAAGCCTTTTTTCTTCTGAGATTTGCTGTCATATTAGGGTTTTGAACTTGGGTTTCCCTAATCTATGTAAGGGCTCATGTTTCTATGTGAATCCCTGTGTTTTAGGGAGTGTTCTTGTCTAGAATGTTGATTGGTGGTCACTAGAGTTGGTGTCTAGCTCTTTATTCCCTTAAGGGGAAAATATTGACGATGAGTTTTCCATTGCAGCCTTCTCCGACTACCTTTGAAGAGGTGTTTCAGTGTATGTTCGACTACATAGATAGACTATTTGTGATGGTGCGGCCCCGTAAATTACTATATATGGCTATAGGCAAGTATGCAGCTTTTTCAGTGATTTCGTATCCACTGATGTAAATTTAGAAGAGCATGTGCGAGGCATGATACTTATATGTTGGTTGAAATGGGTCTCAGATGGTGTTGCCCCGAGGGCTAAAATGAATCAACAGCGGTCTAGACGGTTTAGATCAGCTAAAGATGCATCCGATGCGGTATGTCTTTCTCTGAGAACATGCTAAATTTGATTTAAACCCTGGCATGAGTTTTCTATTGTGTTTTATTTTATCCAGAAAACTTCATTTCCTTTTACTCTCTGTTTGAAAGATAAGAGAAAGGAGAATGAGAGGTTCTACATGATGTTCCCCATGTTCTAAACAGTGTTTGGATTTTCGTAAAATTGAATATATTTGAAGGCATGGGTTTTCTACTTACTCGTGTACCCTTTGGACACGGAAGTTTTCTTTAGCTACTGATTAGCGATAGGTGCTTAGAATATGTTTTCTTTATTATGAACTTAGATTGTACGTAGTCTTTTGAAGTTTTCAAGATTCTTATCCATGCATGTCTTCTCGGTTCCTTAGCTAGATTCCAACCTTTTACTTTTTACATTTCCAGTGTTTGTTGAGAGATTATTTGCATTGTTATCCTTTTAGGCAGCTGAAGAAGAACGATTGCGAGAGGAATTCGAGAGGGAAGGGAGAAAGCTCCCACCTAAAGTGGACTCTCAAGTGTTTGACTCTAATGTGATTACACCTGGAACAGATTTCATGGCTGTTCTTTCCATTGCATTGCAGTATTATATACACCTTAGAATAAATTATGATCCTGGTTGGAAAAATATTAAGGTAATTCACAAATTATATGGTTATGTTTTACCAATGTTAATTTTTTATTCACTTTCTTCTCAATCGAAAGCTAGTCAGATTCACAAATAATTCATTTGCGTTGAAATTGTGGCCCCATTACTGTGGTACTGCACAGGTCATTCTTTCAGATGCAAATGTTCCTGGTGAAGGAGAGCATAAAATTATGTCATACATCCGTCTTCAAAGAAATCTTCCTGGTTATGATCCAAATACCAGACATTGTCTGTATGGATTGGTATGGTTTTTTTTGTTTCTTCTGGTTGATCGCTCTCAGGAGTAGCTACTCACTTTGTTCATTTTCCTGGTGTGATGAGTCTAGAGTGCTAATTTTGCTACCCCTTCTGATCAACAGGACGCCGATTTGATTATGTTGGCTTTGGCAACACACGAAGTTCATTTTTCAATACTTAGAGAGGTTTGTGATCTCTTCGATAGGGTCCCTTCAGTCAATGCTTCTTCAGGATTTTGTCTATACCTTTTGTTAGCTTCTTGTTTGCAAAAGAAGAAAATGAAGCAAAAAGGACAAAAGAAGTGACAAATGAAACAAGTGAATCAAATTATCATTTTTTTCATGCGTAATGGAGCTAATTTCTCATTTTAATCTGTGTTTAGGTGGTCTTTACGCCTGGACAGCAAGATAAATGTTTCTTATGTGGACAAATGGGCCATTTAGCTGCAGACTGTGAAGGAAAAGCAAAGAGGAAAGCAGGAGAGTTTGATGAGAAAGGTGATGCAAACGGTGTGGTAAAAAAGCCTTATCAGGTGCGCTTCCACGACTGAATTTGTGATAGATCTCTTGATTCTGAGATGTATGGTTACAATGTGATGATATGTCTTCATTTTCCGTATTTCTTTTCTTTTCCAGTTTCTTCATGTGTGGACGCTTAGGGAGTACTTGGAGCATGAGATGAGGATTCCTAACCCTCCATTCGAGCTTGATCTAGAGCGTATTGTGGATGATTTTATCTTCATATGTTTCTTCGTGGGCAACGATTTCTTACCACATATGCCGACCTTGGAGATTCGTGAGGTTTGTGCTGAAGCCATAATGAATTGATCCTGCTAAATTGCTAATTCCTTTAATTGGCACTTTAGCAACCAAAGATTACGTGCTGTATAACAGGAGGCAGTTTCGATACCTGAGGCACATGACAGTTCCATCCTCTTTTTTAAAATTTTCTTTTGGATAGAATATTATTGTTGTTTTCTTCGTCTCGCCAGGGTGCGCTCAACTTGCTGATGGCTGTCTACAAGAAGGAATTTAGGTCTTTGGGAGGTTATTTGACTAATGGATGCAAGGTGCTCTGTTCTTGCTAGGTTTAATTTAGTTATAATAATCCGTGTTTTCAGTTTGGCATTTTGGCTATGTGGATTCGACTTTCTGTTTTTATCATTTTCAGCCCAATTTGAAGAGAGTGGAGCACTTTATTCAGGCTGTCGGATCCTTTGAAGATAAGATATTTCAGAAAAGAGCCAGGTTACATCAGGTATGTTGGGTTTGTAGAGCAGCATACTTCCTCTTGGTCTTGTATTGTAGTTACAGCCCGTAGCTTATTTTTATTGAAGTAATCACGTGGTCCCACACCTCTTATACCTCCTCGGGATATGGACATAACCCACTGTTTTCTTTGATGATTTATTTACGGTTTTGTTTGTTCTCATAAATACATCAGAGACAAGCAGAAAGAATAAAGCGAGAAAAAGTTCAAACAAAAAGATTGGATGATGCAGCGCCAACAGTTCAACCAGATACTATTGTTCCAGTTGCTAGATTTCATGGTTCTCGGCTTGCTTCCGCTCCTACTCCTTCACCATTTCAGTCAAATGATGGCATCTCTCCTCCGCCCCAGAAAGTTCGACGTCTATCTTCAGGGTCCAGTATCGGTGCTGCCATTGTTGATGTAGAGAACAGTCTTGAATCTGATGTAGGTTTTCCTGCTTCGGGAGAGGCAATTTAATGTAATTTTGTCTCCTTAAGCTATACTATTTAGAACCGTATGCCCTTAGGCTGTGCTTTCACGTGGTATCAACCTTTGTTACCAAGGACATGCGATTATATTGTTCTGTTTATTTTTGCCGATTTGGTTTGATTACTAAGTCTACATTAGTGATGATTTTACGATTCTGCATGTTTCAGGAAAACGAGAACAAAGAAGCACTAAAAACAAAGCTTAAGGACTTGCTTCGGGAGAAATCTGATGCGTTCAACTCTGAGACTCCTGAAGAAGACAAGGTTATAATTTGCTTCCGAATATGATTTTTTTTAATAGCTGCCAAATGACGGTAGATGTAGTGTAGCTTATGTTGTGAAGATGTGATCATGCTATTGATAAAATTTTATGGACTTAACGCATGATACTGTGCTTCTTTCTTTGTCTCTTGCCCTTTGCATTCGTGACAATTTTCTGAAAGTGTTAGTATTGTATTCAGGTGAAGCTAGGGGAACCAGGGTGGAGAGAAAGATATTATGAAGAGAAATTCTCAGCAAAGACACCTGAAGAAATGGAAAGAATACGAAAGGACGTTGTGAGTTTTTAAAACCTAAAAACGTGCTTTAAAGTTTCAGTAAATCTGTTTTCAGAGGGGTTTTTGTAATATGACACATTCTTCCGAATAGGTTTTGAAGTACACAGAAGGCCTTTGTTGGGTCATGCATTACTACTATGAAGGCGTTTGCTCCTGGCAGTGGTAAGTTCCCTCTTCTTGGTTTCTTTTCACGGGTAGATGTTGCAGTTGATCCTTCTTGGTCGTCTGCTTTTCTTTATGATGTCTAAGATCTTGATTGGAGTGCATATTGATTTTTGACTTCTTCAGAGGATTTGTTTTTCTTTTGTAGGTAGTTTAGAATTTTTCAGAGACAACATAAGTGGTCATATATTATTTGCCCGTCCTGATCATATTGGATTATTTGGTTCTTTGAATGCTTATCCGTTTAAACGGGATCCAAGAATTTTCAGTGGAAATGTTATTTATTTGTTGTTTGATTGAATGAATGATACATACCTTTATCTTTGCTCTAGTCTGTGTGGATTTGTCATTTTTAAATGTTAGCTTCTCCTTCTGGCTTTCATCAGCTGCGAATGTCACCCTTGATACCATGGTCCTTTAATGTTACAGGTTTTACCCATACCATTATGCGCCATTTGCTTCTGATCTGAAGGATCTTGGGGAGCTGGATATAAAGTTCAAACTAGGGACTCCTTTTAAGCCTTTCAATCAACTTCTAGGCGTATTCCCAGCTGCAAGGTAATTAGATAACTAGGGCAACTGTTTTCTTCTTCTTCTTTGCCATATTATCTCAATAATAATTATTTGTCTTTTCAGTTCACATGCCCTTCCGGAGCACTATAGGACCTTGATGATGGATCCCGTTTCGCCTATCATTGATTTTTACCCAACTGGTATTACTTTTTGTCCTCAATAAGGATTTCGTGTATTGCTTAACATTGTCTGTTGTAACAAATAAATTTTCTTCTCTTTTCTTGCTTTTTAGATTTTGAAGTTGACATGAACGGAAAGCGTTACTCCTGGCAGGTCTCTCTTTCTCTCTCTCTCACACACACACACCCCACACATGTGTTGAGGACAGAATCATGTATTTAAATGGAATTTTGACATTCTTTTTTTTTTCTGCCAAGGGTATTGCGAAACTGCCTTTCATCGATGAAAGTCGTCTTCTAGCTGCTGTTGCAGAAGTGGAAGACACATTGACGGCATGTTGCTATAACTTCTGTTGTTTTTAATCTCCCTTTTGTTCCTTATAGAGAGGCGTGCCTTTTCTTTCTCAATTGGATTAAAATGTTCTGTTTTCTGCAGGAGGAAGAAAAGCGCAGAAACAGTATCATGTTCGACTTGCTTTTTATAGCAACGTCTCATCCACTGGCTGAACTCATTTTTTCCCTCGACAACCAGTGTCGCCAGTTGACTGCCAAGGAGAAAGTAGACGTCAAGGTTAAGATTAGACCTGAGCTCAGGTTTGTGTTGCCATATGGTAGATTAAATTTTATGAATATGAGAAATGACCTAACTCATACACTGACTCTCTTAATCTTTGGGCATGATAATGATATGAAACTAGTTGGTCAGATCTGAATTGTGTTTAAACCAAGAACTTTCGAATTTAGGAGCTTCCTGAACTTTTGCCTGATTTCATTAGTTTGTTTGTTTTTGGCAGTGACGGTATGAACGGCTATTTGACTCCTTGTTCAGGAGAGACTCACCCGCCAATATTTAGAGCCCCGGTTCAGGGCATGGAAGATATCTTGGCCAATGAAGTCATGTGAGATTCTGAGACTAGATTTTAATTTTGTCAAGGATATATATATATATATATATATATATATATATATTATATAAGAGACTTAAATAGATTAATAACATTGCCTTCTCTCTCTTTTTCAGATGTGCGATATACAGACTCCCAGATGCACATCAACACATAACAAGGCCACCTCCTGGTGTCATCTTTCCAAAGAAGGTATTTTTCAAGAAACCCATTTTTTGAGAGACCTTTTCTGCACAATGTTTACAGAAGGTTTCTTACATTAGATGCTTTTGTCACTAAATCTTAAGCTAATTCCCTGCTGTTCAGATTGTCCAATTAGGAGATTTAAAACCGGAACCGGTTCTGTGGCATGAGGATTCTGGAAGAAGACCAATGAATCGAGACAGGTTAGCTGATTGTCTTAACATAGTGAAAGAAGATATCTGTGCCTTTGTCGAATATTTTGCGATTCAACTGAATGCTAAGTTGCGATTCTCCCCCTATTTTAGGCAGAACCATCCTGGAAGCGTCTCTGGCCGCCATCTTGGAGAGGCAGCACATCGATTTGTCGCTAACAGCTTACAGTTGAGAGGAGATCGTAACGGATATCATACAACAGATATGCATGCTCAGCATCCGGGTTACAATTACATCCCTCCATATATACCGACCTCTCCTTCCTACCAGAACTATGGTCATATGTCACGGCAGCAGCCAGCTCTAGGGCCTGCTCACATGGGTCCACCGATGATGCAGGCCCCATATGCCCACCATGGTTATGCTCAACCACAACCACTTTACCCGAATCAACCAACGCATTTATCGGCTAGGGCCGATGAATACGACTATCCTTTATCCCGTCAAGGTGCGTACCAACCACGAGAAGGTGGTGGTGGGCAACAGCAAATTGGTGGGAGGTTCTCGTCACAGCCTCATCACGATGTCCCTCGGGTAGGTCACCATGACTCTAGGGGTTATGCTGATAACCCAAGAGACTATCATCATCATGATCGACAAGGTGGGAGCGATAATAACTCGCGAGGATTTGACTATCGTCATCATCAGCAAGGACAGGGAGGGAGTGATAGCTCCCGGGGGTATGGTGATTACCGTCGGGAACCCAGAGGAGGAGGAGGATACCATCGAGGCAGGAACTCGTTTTCTGGTGCGAGATAGGAATAGATTATCAAGCCTAACAGGATATTTACCCGCAGTAGCTACGCCTGGGCGGTATATTCATCTTCTTCCTCTCCGTGCTCGATTTTAACTGGCTTTAGGCTTTTGGCATTTGGCTCTGTTAACAGGTGGTTTCCCTGTGTTTTTTGGTTGCAGGGTCCATTAGTTTTCAACATTTCGAGCGTCCTTACGTTATCAGAGGTGATTTTTTTTTTTAAAAAAAATTCTCTTCCTATATGTTGTGTTGTACCAGTAATAGTTTTCGTACTGTTTGGCAAAAGGAACAATAAATAGTTCATCAAACGTGTACTAGGAGAGTGAAATTGGTGTAAGAATTATAGGTTCGTATTTTATTATTCTTCGTTATCCTTTCTTATCAGTTGCAATTTATTTATGAATTTTGCCCCCTCTCCCTATAGCCTGTTTTTTTTTTTAAAAAAAAATGTAAAATTGCTGCGACCAAAGTTTCATACGAATCATTTCTAATTCGTTAAAAAAATTAAACCAACATGAACTCAAAATCAACATTCCCCAAAGCCCACTTGAAGCCCAACTCGGAAATCCCTAAACGACCAAAAAGTAATTTAAAAAAAAAATGTGCCATTCAAAATCCCTTTGAGAGTTCATGGAGAGTGATCGCATCTCCGTGATTTTGCTCCGAAAAAGGTACTGAATTCGAAATGTATCCTTCCTCTTCTTTTTCCGTTTATGTTATCTGAAATTTGAAGTTGAAAGTTTCGGAACTTGGCTGTAATCAGCTGGATTCCGTCTGCTTTTGTTTGTTTGATTTTGTGAATAGAGGATTTTAGTTTCTTCAATTTTGATGCCTTTTTTCCCTCAGGAATCGTTCGGCAATCTTTGCTACTCGAATCACTCTACCGAACAAGGGTAGATTCCGTTCTTAATCGAAAAGAAAATCTCATGGTAGATATTTTCCCGATGATGTGACCGATATGCTTTGGTACAGTTTATGAAATCCGCAAGCTGACGATGGATGGTGAAATAAGCCAGCAGCCGAGGCAAGAGCGTTCCAGGACGAGGTGGACTCCGATCCTCGATAAGGTTTTCGCGGATTTGGTGGTTAAGCAGATCCAACTAGGCAACAGGCAGAACAACGTTTTCGACAAGAAAACATGGAGTCACATATGCCAAGAGTTTAACGAGCAGACACATCTCAACTTCAACAACAATCAGTTAAGGAAACATCTCGATGTTCTTAGGCAACGTTACAACGCTCTTAAACCGTCCCATCTTCAGAACGAGTTTGTGATCGAGGATAATTGTATCGGGTTTGGCTTGTGGGAAGATTTAGGTGTAAGTTTTTCTCTTCCCGCGAGAAAAAAGAGATTCTCGTTTCGGGTTTGTGTGTTCTGTTTCACCGAGACTAATGCAGATTTTGGCTTGTGTACTCAGGTACATCCACGGGCTGAACCGATCAAAGTTACGGATTGCTCGATTTACGAGCAGCTTTGCGCCATTTTCGATGATAATTATTTGGATGGTAGATACGCTCAGTCTAGTCATTTCGAGGGATTAGAAGCAACCCTTGCAAATCAAACCTTTCATGAAGGGACGACGCAATCACTGAAGCTAATAACACCGAAAGCAGGGAAAGGAAATGTATCTCTCTTGGAAAAGGATTCTCGGAATTTCACCGAGAGGAAGAGGAAGAGAAAACCCGAGACAAGTCCCGCCTTGGCCCGAAGCCCGATCGAGACCATGGGAAGGGCGATGCTCGACATGGTGGATGCATTGAGGTCGAGAATGGCCGATGCCACAAAGACGGATGATAAATTCAGTATCGGGAATTGCATTAGCGCCCTCGACGAGATGGAAAACGTGGACGAAGGCATCTACTTCTCGGCGTTGGATCTTTTCGAGAGCCCTTGTCTAAGAGAGATTTTTCTATCTTTGAAGGGAAACAAGATAAGGTTGATATGGTTACAAGGGAAGTGCAGGACACCTTCCCTTCCTACTCCATGTTAGGGTTATGTCCGATTATCCAAACCCATAGTATCATTTTTTTTAATAATTAATATATATATATATATATATGTATGTATGTATGTATGTATCATGGCTCTCACATAAACCGTAGGAAAGGTGGCCTTTCGGATATAATTAGGGGAAATCGCCATAAAAACCCTGTACTTTTCCCAGGTTAACGAAAAAACCCTGTACTTTTTTCCTTACCAAATAAACCCTGTACTCTATCCTGATAACCAATTAAACCCTGTACTTACAATTTATTAACTAAAAAACTCCCGCGCCGTGAACGTTGTGACGGCTGAAACGAAACTAGTGACATGGCATAAACGGAGTTGCTGATCCTAATCCACGTAGGATTTACTTGCCACGTCAGATAAAACAAAACAATTATAAAGTCGGAAAATAAACCATATTAAACCTAATCACAAAAAACTCCTCTATTTCCCCAATCACAAAAAACTCCGTTCGAACCCTAAGCCTTAGTTTCGTTCTTCATCAGTTTCGTTCTTCACCGAGTTCTTTCTAAATCGTGTGTATTTCGGAGGTGATTTGGAGACGATGCGAACTGGGTAATCGATTTGAAGTTTCTCCCGGTATTTCGAAGCCGATTTGAAGGTGAGTTTAAACCCTAAAGCTTCGGCGGAAGAAACCCTAAAGCTTGGAAGCCGATTGCTCTCTGTTTGAAGATAACCCATTTTCATCACTCATGTTCTTCGATTTTGGTGAAGCGATTTCTGACAGTGATACCATTTTGTTTTGATTGAAGATAACCTGGTGTCATTTCTTCTACAAATCGGCGGAAGAAAGGTTCGGGTAAACACTGTCATATTTTCCAGGTATTGTTTCGAAGTCGATTCGATGTAATGTTTGTGTTGCTCATTTTTTCAAAAAATTATGAAATGTTTAGGTTTTGCAAGGATGTCAAGGGATGATTCAGATGATGTGATAATAAACATACATTTGGGCGGATCAATAATGAAAGATGATGAAGGAGAGATAAAATATGTTGGTGGGTTTGTAGAAAAAATTGAGAGTGTGGTTAATGTTGATTATCTGAATTGGTTTATGTTTGAAAAGTTGGTGAAGAAAGAGAGATTGCCTCAAATAAAAGAGCTTTGGTTAAAAAGACCAAATGAGGAGATGGATTATTTGAGGCAAATATACAAAGATGTAGATTTTGGAATTATAGACATGATTAATATGGGGATTTATTTGTTTAGTCATGTGATGAATATTTTTCTATAGGTACGTCTCAGATTACTTTTCAAAGCAGAAATGGATCAAGGCATATGAGCAGAACATTCTGTCCGTAAATGGACAAATTTTGTGGACGAAGACATGAAAATCTCCTCCTGGTGTACCTGATGACAGACCAATGCCAGGTCGACCGAGAAAGTTTAATCGGACAAAGGATCCGCATGAGTCTCCGTCAAAGAGTGGTCGACTTTCACGCCATGGAAGAAAAATGACGTGTACTCGCTGTAAACAGGTCGGACATAATGCCAAGACATGTAAAAATGAACCATTTCAAATGGAAGGTCCAACACGTGGGAGAGGTCGTCCGAGAAAAGTAAAGGTACAAAAACTGCATTTTCTGGTTTTGCTTATGCGTTATTTGTTTCCTTGATTGGTTATGATGAATATTTTCTTACTAGTTGGGAGGGCAAACAAGTCGGCCAGCTCCTTCCAAGAAGAAGAAAACTACACAACCTGTTATGTCGGAAAATGCTCAGACTAGTGGTAACTCAATAGCCGATGGTATACTTACAACCATTCTATTATTTTAGTTTCTGGTGTTATTAGACAACATAATGCATTTCAAATTCTGTTTGGCAGGGTCCTCCATTCCAACACAAGGGAGTCAGACAATACAATCGGCATTTCCTCATCATCAGAGAGCACATCTTCCTGAGTCAACCTCATCACTTCCAAACACGGTCTTCATTGCACCTCGAACGGGTCGAAAATTCCAGATTCCAAGACAAGAAAAACGGAAATGATTATGCACTACCTACAGTTGTGCCGACTTTTTTTTATAGAACTCAATGTATCCAAGATGTTGTCTATTCTATTGTCGAACTATGTATCCATGATGCCAACTTTTTTTGGGATGTAATGTTATGCCGGGTTTTTTTCATCCTGTACAAACATGTTATGTTAATATCATAATATAATCTTCTTTGTGTAATGGTCAAAAACATAACATTCATAGTCTGATAACTATAATTAGGGTCAATAACATAACATTCATTATTCATTAACTACACCAATATTCGTTTACCATTTCTACATTTCTAAACATAGGATAATCCATAGTAATACCCAAAAAACATAGCTACACCGATTACAACTACACCAAACATAACTACAATATTGCTGTATTCAACCATCTTAACATTCATCTTTTCCATATTCTGATTCATCTTGTCCATCCTAACATTCATCTTCTCCATCATCTTCTCCATCTTAACATCCATCATCTTTTCCATCTTCACTTCATGTAACTCATCACGGAAACCATCCAACTCTTCAATTATCGCATCGTCAAGCCATTTGAAAAAATGAGAACCATTTCTCTGAAACATAAAACAACACAAACATAAGAAACCAATGTCATTTTCTGAAGAAAAAAAAATATGTACAAATTACAT